GGCATTGCTGCATCTGGTCAGTGTTTCTCACACTGTCTGTAGTCCTTTTGTCTGCAGGGCAGCGTTCTGCTGTCAGTGGGTTTCGTGCACAGTATGCAGAGATCAGCACAGGTCAAGGTGATAAATTTAAGTCCCCCTTAGGCAAATTTTAAGCTCTGAGCTGGGTCTTTGGAGAAGAATCTGTTTCACATTGCATTCCTTCTATCCCCAAACCTTAAAACTTTAAATCTCACTGGAATTGCTTTCATAACAAGGCTTTTCCAAGCAGTGTGTTCTTCCTGTTCAGCAATGCTTTTTAGCTTTTTTTTTTAAACTTGCTGAAAATGTTTTGAACTGAAAATATAAGTAGTTTGTGTCACTTGTTAATTTTTAGACATTTTTTCCTCTTGTGCAGCTTCTGTAAAACTCAAATTATTTAACACCAGGTTTTACCCCACCCAGCCAGACAGCACTGGGTAATCGGTTTTGCTTTTATTTAAAATCGATTGCACTGTTCCAGTAAAGCAGCAGTGTTTAGCCACTGGTGATAAGTAGGCTGAATCAGTTCCTGAAAAATGTCCTATTTTAAAGTGCTTTCTGATTGATGTGGCACTTCAGAAAAAGCAAGCCTGATGCCTTGTGCTCGCACTGCTTCGCTTGCAAGGACGTTGGTGTGCCTGCCGTGCGAGCTGAGCCTGGGCAGAGCTGAGCACGGCTGATCTATTCCTGGGGAACGAGCTGCTCTCCTGCACAGAAGTGCCCCTCGTCAGATGACAGATGTCCTATGATTCATTGTTTGAATTTTTTCTCAGGTTCAGGGTTGGCACCGGAAAGCCACCTCCTGCGGGTTCCTGCTGGTCCCAGTCTTGGAAGGCCCCTTCGCTTTGCCCAGTTACTTGTACGGAGACCCCCTGCGGGCTCAGCTCTTCATCCCCCTCAACGTGAGCTGCCTGCTGAAGGAGGGCAGTGAGCATCTCTTTGATGGTAAGGAGGGGTCCTCCTTTTACCCCAGGCGGGGCACTGCTGGCATGTGGCTGGCACAAAGGGCCTCATTCACCATCCAGGCGTTAGGTGGCTGAGGGACCTGTTTCTGCCGTTCAGCAGCCCCCTGAGGAAGGGGGTGCTGGAGGAGGCCGTGCTGGCAGCACAGTCAGCATGAACAGGGTGAGGTGGGCAGCAGGAAACACCAACACACAGGAAGGGTGGTTTCCCCACTGATCTTTAACAGTTCACACCCTTACAGAGCCCATGGCAAGTGGCTGTTCCTTTGACAGACCGAGGCTGTTTTGCTGGTAGACCCACAGCTGCTCTGCATTTGTATCCTGTGTTTGTTTATTCTCCCCCTCAGTGAGATTAGGCTTTCACCACTGCTATCCTTTTTTTGCTGTTGCCGTGGTTACGTTCATGGTTAGAGTGTTTGCACATGAGATTAAGCGCTAGAAACTGCAATCTCCCTCTCTGCAGTGTGACCTCGCCCTTCCCAGTGACAATGTTGTGGTGAGTCTCAGGTGGAAACTCAAAGATCAGAGAACTCTGTCCCCTTGCAGAGGGGGGGCAAAATGGCATCGTGAGAAGGGACAATTAGCAAAAGACTCTGTTTTAAAATAACAAATAGGATATTTTCATTAATCCTTGACCCAATGTCCAGGTGTAAACGTAAAACAATCGTGACAAATCCATATGCTGCGAGGTCACCACAGCCCCACTGACTGAACTAAGTATTTTCAGAGCACTCTGCTGATACACAGCAGCCCAATCTCCTTCTTTGTCCCCTCCTACACACACCTTTATGTTCCTCTCCTTCATCTCAAGAGACACAAAATATGAATTCGGGGATCAGTGTACAAGACTCGTCTCTAATAAGATGGCATTCAAGGGACAGCTGACAGAAAAAACTGCGACTAAAAGAAATGTCTAGGGGGAGAAAAAGTGCACAGAGATCTTCTGAGAAAAACTGAAATCTTGAAACGAAGGAAATAAAGTAGCTTTACTAGATAATTGTTACATTTCATGTGTTTCAGGCTTCGAACCAGAAACATACTGGGACCGAATGCACCTGCTGCAGGAGGCAATAGCACACAGGTATGTGCAGAGGGGTGACCAAAGGGTTTGTGTCTCCTTGGATAATGTGCAATGAAGATCTGTGCTGGACACTCACTCCTGGCTTCTGTGCTCTCTGCCTCTCTGAAGTCTGCTCACAGATTATTAGACTAAAATACGGTCCCCACGCCTGGAGCTGGTTCTGGGGGTGCAAGGGGCAGGTTTGTACTGTTTCAGCCTGTCACTCATTAAAAAACTCATCCTAGGGAGGGCACTGCCTTTGAGAAGTGCCCTAAGTTAAAAGCTGATAGATTGTAAATAGGTTCTTCCTGAGAAGGGACAGTTATTTCCTTCATGTGGATTTAACACAGTCTTGAACCAGTGGTTGACAACAGGCAGGAGCCTGGGATGGAGCTGTACACAGGAGCTTGGGCCCAGTTTAAGGAGTTGTTGGAAACTCTGAATGCTCTCTAGCCTTTGTGTGGCTGAACTGCCAGTTTGTTTAATGGTGTTGCTGCCAAGGTGTCTTTCACCACAGAGAAAGTGCCTTTTTTGATGGACTTTAGCTTGGAAACCAGCTTTCATTAGTTTAGAAAGCAGGAGAGGAACAAGCATCCTACAAACAGCAGAGAACTGTCAGGTGAGCTGCTTGAGTTCTGTGTGGGAGAATGTGCAGCATGAAAAGAAATGATGTTGCAGCTTGAAGCATAGCCGAGGAATGTCTGTCTGCTCTTCCTCTTCCCTCCCTCGTGTGCAGCTGTCCCGTTTTGTGAGAGGCTGCTCGGAGCTGCTGCTCCCGTGTCCTGCACAGGCTGGGCCAGGAGCAGGGTGGGCTCACAGCTGGGCCAGGAGCAGGGTGGGCTCACAGCCTTTCACACTGTGCCAGCAGGGGCAGAGAATACTTGGAGAAGCTCAGCTCTCTTCATCCCTCTTCCTCTTGCCTGCAGGCCATAAGAAGAGGGAGCCTTTGTCCTAGTGGAAGGATTTTCCCTGGTGCCCCTGCCCTGGACTGAGGAATCCTACCTAAAGTGGTTCTTTTTATCTTTTTTTTTTTTTTTTTTATCCTGTGGTCTCTCTTTCTTCAGATTTGGATTTGTGCAAGATAAATACTCGGCCTCTGCATTCAACTTCCCAGCAGAGAACAAGCCCCAGTATATCCATGTCACAGGTGAGAAATATTTGGGAGGCACTGGAGCGAGGAGGAGGTTTTTACAAACAAAAGAACCATTTTACCTGCAGTTTGTCCTTTTTGTCAGTGATGTTGGTCCTGTTTTGTCCTAAGCTAGATGACATGTAGATGTGTCAGCCAACACAAACCAGAAAACTGGAGGGGCAGTGGGAAAAGCACAAAGTGTTGCTGCTAGTCAATGGTGTTGGTTTGAAATCTTTCTTTGTAGTGTCTCTAAAACTTTTCTTTCCACGAGATGGAGAAATTAAAAAAAATTATGGCAGAGCTTATTGCAAGGTCAGTGTAAATAAATGTGTACCCAGAGGCCAGAAGGAGGAAAAGGTGTTGGGACAAGTCAATGCTCTGTTCTCGTGCTTAAGGTCAGTTGTAGATGCATCTCTACCCATGGACACTGTGAGGGAGGCAGATAAAGCATTTAGGATCCACCTGCTTTCATTATTACTCCTCATAAATGCTGGTGGTCTGTCAGCACTTATAACCAAGCTCCATGCATGGCACTTTGCAGTAAAATGGATCCACACAATTCCCCTGGGTTGCTGAGACGTGAAAGCAGTGACAGGAAGAGAGCTTTTGGAAAATTGCAGAAGAGAGTGGCAGTTGATGGGAAGTTAGAAAGATGGATCAGGGCCTACAGTTTTGCTTCCTTCCCTGCCTGCAGGGGAAAGGGCAGACTGAGAGTGCTCTCTCCCACTGATGTAACACGCAGGGAGAAGCAGCGAAGGAGGAGAATTGTATCCCATTTTCTCTTGCTGAAAGGCAATCAAACGACACTCAGGGCAGTTTCCTTTTCAGAATTTAATGAGCCAGGCCCCAGTTGCAGGGACTTGGGTCTGCCTCAGACTGAAGCCCTCCTGTCTCCCCAGGGACGGTGTTTCTGCAGCTGCCGTATTCCAAGCGGAAGTTCTCCTGCGGGCAGCAGCGGCGCCGGCGCAACTCCACCAGCTCCACCAACCAGAACATGTTCTGTGAGGAGCGAATCGGCTACAACTGGGCCTACAACACCATGCTCACCAAAACCTGGCGCTCCAGCGCCACCGGCGACGAGAAGTTCGCCGACCGGCTGCTGAAGGACTTCACTGACTTCTGCTGGAACAAGGACAGCCGGCTCGTTCTCTTCTGGACTGACTGTCTGGACAAGATGCACGCCAGTGCTCCCTGAGATAGGCCTGCACTGGGTCTCTTGGGGAGACAGCTAAAGCTTTACCTTGTGGCAAGGATGTAGAAGTGAAGGATGAGGGAAAAGAACCTCTGTGTGGGATTCATCTTGAGGCTCCGAGAGGACCTGAGCAATATTGCTGTTGATATTCAACAGAATTTGATTAAGTGCTTGAAAAAAAGAATCTGAGCTCTTGGCCTGCCAATATTTACCACCTGACTTCAGCTTGGTTTTAAGTAGCTGCAGTCTTTGATTGCCAAAACTTCAGTTAAAGCAGAGGTGAAGGAGGGAGAGTGCAAATGGTTTTCAAGGGCAGCCGGATGCGGCACGGCGTGATGGTAGAGGCTTCCTGTCAGTGGAAACGATGGATGCCCTTGGCATCTTCTGTGCCTGGCAGCAGCCTGCCCCTGCCCCTCCCGAGGTGTACCCTGATTGTGTGAATATGTAAGATAAATGTGAGAGATGCTTGTTACGTTTCATACATGTAAATAAGTAAAAATGCAGAAAAGCAAGTGCCCTGATGTCATGTTGTATCCACAGAGAGCAGTACAGAATCAGTGAGTGAAAGAGAACCATCGCCAAGAGGAAGTTCTGTTTCCTGTGCCCAGCTCAAAGTTCAGTGCTGGGGCTTTGTCTTTTAGGCTTTGTCTTTTAGGCATCCAGGACTTTGTGTTTCCAGCTCCAGATCTAGAACAGTGTCACACAGCAGGGAGCAAGAAATCAGTTACTGTCCTGCAAGGCCAGCACCAAAGCCTAAGGAGAAACCAAGAGCTGAACACAAAATGCTGCTGAGAATAATGAGCAGGTTGTTAGAATGTGTCTGCATGCAGCAAAAAGAAGGTGCCTGTGCTCAAGTATGTAGCCTTTGTCTTTGCACAGAAGGCTCAGGGCCTTGGCACGAGCTGGTTATTGAAGTGCAGATTTCGGGTGGGTTCACGAGCCAGCCGTGCTCAGCCTGGGGGCTGTTGGCTCCTGCTGCGAGATGGTTCCTATTGTTACCTGTCCTCGAGAAACTGGAGTCAGGGAGGGCTGACACCTTCACAGTGGTGTTCAGACCTGACTCAGGGAAAATCGTAGCTGCTTAAAACTGAGCCTGGATGACTCATCTGTTTTGAGACGGCACCCACCCACAAAAGGTGGGTTTGAGCCTCGTGCCTCTTCATTCAGTTCCTAAGCGTGTCAAAATCATCAGCGCGCATCTGAGCCCCATTAATGACTTAAAAAATGCTGTCTACTATGAAAGCAACTCGCTGCCATCTACCCTAGCCCGCCGTGCTCTGGAAGGCGCTGTGCAGGCGGTGGATGCTCGGTCCAAGGGCTCCCGGGGCGGGGCGAGGTGTGAGGCGGCCCCCGAGCCCCTCCTGGGCGGGCAGGGAGCGCCGGCGGCCCCGCACCTGGCCCGGAGCACGAGGACCGGGATCCGGACCCCACCAGTGCTGCAGCCCCTCCCTGCTCCTCCACTTCGCAGGTATTTATCAGCTTTTCCCGCTCTTGTCCTGGGGTTAGAGGTGGCCCAAGGGTGGAGGGTCCCCAAGGGCACCGCGCCGGTCCCCTTTGCCCAGGAAAACGGGTGAAAACCAGCCCCGGCCATTGCTTACACCCTGAAGTAAGTGCGTCCTCCCCGGTCTGACAAATCGCCGTTTTGGAGAAAAACTAATGAGTTTTACCTGAATTTCATCGAACTACTCTGTTCGGGTAGTTTTAACCTCTAAGCTGTGGGTGTAAAACTTAGAGTCAGTCTCTTGAGTTTTGGGGCAAGTTTGATGTGTCTTTCTGAGCTCAGTTGTTTCAACTGCAGACCTGGTGTGGCTTTAGCTTTTCAGCGCTGCTTTAGGCCTACTTTTATTTAAAGCATTTTAAGGTCCTCGGACTGCTTTTAAGAGCACAGTGAATTTCTTTCCTTAAAAAAAAAAAAAAA